GTATAATTACCATTCCTGCTAAAGGCAAAAAAAAATGTAAATACCACGGGATAATTATTTTAAGAATAAACGGTTGCAATTATGCGTACGGGGAATTACTATCCGTACTATCCGTAATAATTACTATTAAAGAACACATTATAATGAGTGCGTTGAACTTCCTCCCACAATAGTAATTAACATTTATACATAACTAGTCGCAGGGAGAAAAAATTGTATTATTACTAGTTACTGCAGATAGATCAAAATAATATTCAGTGGTTGAGCGTGCAGTGCATAATAATACCAACCCGCATAAAAAAATTGGCTGTTTTTTTTTATAAATATTGTTATGTTATTTGTTCACTATACCAGCTGATGCCCGTATGCTACAATGTTAGTGTAGTAAGATGTAAACTCATCTAAAAACGGATAAAATTATTGTGGATTTTTGCATAACCGTGTTATTGCGCCTAGTGTACGAGTATGTGTTTTAATATGTAAGTTCTTAACATAAAAATCTATCATGTTATGTACGCTTGGTCGTTTGTATCGTGTACATACATATTATTGTAGAAAACAAATGCTCTATATTTTTCTATTATACAAGTACACAAAACGAATTAATATTTATGAATTGCAAATAATTTTAAGCAGCTGTACAAAACGTGCACTATTTTCGGCCACACGAGTATTTTACAGGTAATATAAACAGTGTATACTTTAAAACAACAAGGACCTCGTACACAAACAACAAAACCTAGGCAAGTAAATTTCGCTGTTTTTTAGTAATAATTAATCGTGTCGCCTTTAAACATACACACACACACTCACACCTTGTTTTGTTAGACATGTAACAAAGGTTAAATAAAAATAAATGCGTGCTCGCATTCGGCAATAAATTAAAAGAAAAAAATGGCAACACTTTAATATAACGATTGCTTTGAATAAGTGTTAACCATTCGAGGTTATACGTTTTCGTTCGTAGCACGTACAGAGTGTGCTAACAAAACTGATAAACTAACCAGAGTAAAACCGCTACTCTAATTTATTGTACTAAAAGCCTTAAAAAAAATGTGATTGAACAGCAAGCTATGCTACAGTGTTAACTGAAAGGCCTTATGTGTGATCATTTGATAACCATCTGAATGATTATCTATTTATTTATGTGATATAATATAATTTAACAGTAATATTATAATAATTGTGTTATCATTAATGTCCTTTCCATGATTACAGAATTAGGAGAACATAGTAACCACACGCAGCAATTTAAACATAATTTTATTTTCTAAATGTTTTAGTCTAGTGAAAAATATTACAAGTATAATAAATGTTTGATGCTTTTAAAAAATGTAGCCGCAAATGGCGACCACACTAAACTTAATGTAACTGAAAGAAAAGTGCAGACAAAAATATTTTATCCAATTTATAATATAGAAATGAGAAGATACGAGAGTGGACATAACGACAATTTACAAAAATACATAGGTAACCCAATATCGTCTCTATTCGTATACTACAGAAGTATAAGGATAGAATGGTTCGGTAAAGAAGGGAGATGGAAACATGACAAAACCAAAAGTAGAAGGAAGAATTAGAATTGTCTTCAAAAGACCCCTATGAAGACTCAGGGCGAGTTAGAAGGACGCTGTGGTAAAATATTTAGAGAAGATTCGGGAATATGTGTAAATGACGTTATAGTATGGTAAAACCGATGTAATGGTATAGTGGTAGCAACGATGGGACTTCAAGTCCCGCTAAACAATTGAAAAGAAAAAAAGTATAGTGAATATATCGTACTAAAATATGTGATGTAAAATTAAAATACCTTCCCGAAATTACCTTGGCAATCTGTAAACTATTAAGTTATAAAAATAATATAGTCTGATAGTGTTTGTGGAAAAACATAACTTTTTAACTCGTTTTAGAGATGTTGACCTAACCGATGCATATGACTATAGATGAAGATGTGCATTTTATTACATCGTGCATTTCACCTAGTTGGTGTGTAACCGTATGCGTTATTTGGCCAAAGCGAATGCGACACCGTTTACATTTTTATACCCGTAAGCATTTGTTATGATCGCGTTCCTTGTATTTACTAAACCTTTTTTTTTTGTTTCACACGACAAAGATAGACACCGTGAGAAGGGAATGTCTCCTGAGCAATGATACCGAAAATATTTTATTACAATCATATTTTGTCGAAACGATAATACGATTGAATTCATCCGAACGTTCTTAGAAGACCGAAGAAGACTGTCGGTTAAAAAAAATGTATATTTGAATCGGCATTTAATTTGACGTGATATGCACATAATAATTGGACAGCAATTTGGTTCATTGGAGGTCGAAAATAATTTGCACTTATAACTTGTTCACACTTTACCGAAACCCCGATAACTAAAATGATCCCGTTATCACAGATGTAGATCAAGAAACTATCGAAGAATGTGCTAGTAAAAATCTAACTATGCCTGATTATAATGTTTGATGCATTATTTCCTAGAGTCTAGGACACGGCTCATTTATTCTGATTTTGAGTAATGAACATTTAAAGGTTAAAAAACTTGACTGTCAAATAACAAGTTTTAAAAATTGTTACTTACAAAAATCTATATTATAAAAATCGATTACTACAGTGTTAACTCAACTAAGGTGACAACTCAGCAAATAGTGTTACACCAATTTCTAATATTGAATCATCAAACGTCTTTTACCGAATTAGGTGAACGAATAAAAAGAGAGGTCAAATTTTTCAATTCCAAGCGTTCACGTTCGCATTTTTGGTACGGCACGCGAGTAATTAAAAAAAAAAAAAATGTAATATATATGTGATATAATTGTAATAATAGGGGGGTTTTCTATGACCAACCCCGGGTTAGTCCCTTGGGAAATGAGTCCCTCGACAAGGATATACGTCGTAAGACTGCCGGAAGTCAAAAGGGTCTCTGCGCGACGGTTGCCGAAGGCGATGGAACTTGGGGACAGACGAGGGCTGTATCAATGAACACGGATCGTTTGCGGTTAAAACCAACGGTTGTTCCCAAGTGGAAAATTCAGATAAATCAATTGGTTTTGGCGCTTATGCTTTTGTTGCCCTAACAAGCGTTTTCGGTCGTCCAATCGATTAAACGATTAAATGGAAACGCTAAATTGAAATCTGGTTATCGAAATCTAAGTCTAACAATAGGTACAGAATGGATTTACTGACGACGCGAGCCAATTTGCATTGTACATGAATTGCTTAATGGCTAAAGGATCGTTCTGCTCTATACCGATAACGTTCCCGGTTATACCGGTATTAATTTGGAAATCATCTTAAGGCTAAAACTGGCAAAACAATTCATAAATGTAATATTATGAAAAATTAGAAAGTCAAATGTTTTTTTAAGAAATGTTATTTGGATTATAAATTATTCACATTATTTCCACTATATAGTATAAACCACTTCTATACATTGAATATCTCTACTGAAAAATTGGCTGAATTTTCTCTGAAAAATTCTATAAAAACTTATATTAAAATTGTATTTTCTGTTTTGTCTTATGCCTACAACCTATTCAAGTGTATTATATAATTAGTAATTCAGCTATGACCTCGAGTGATTACGTCAACTACGAATTTTAATTTCCTATTAAAACGTTAAATTATGTTTTTTTTTATGTTTAAACTAATAAAAAAATCAATACGTAATTTTATCGACAACTTTTAGCTAGGTAATAGTTTTTTGGTTATAATAATAATATTATTATGATATACTATATTATTTATTGTATACAAATGATAAGAAATTCGTGTTAGTATCTATGTAAATGTATTTACAATTAATATGTCTTATCATTTTACATATCTAAGTTAAGTGGATCATATTTTTAATTATATAACACATCAGTCGTTACGTTATATTTTATTATACGTAAAAACAATAACACAATTAACCTATGCGTTCTCCTCGCGGTTAGGGTAGCACATGCCGCAACCGTGTACATTGAGACTGTAGGTCCTATATTGTAGTGTATACGGTTACACATTGTTGTGTAATTTATATAGGTATAGGTACAACACATTACAAGTATAACTAGTTTATGTACTTGGAAAATATATCGTCACGTTTCCACCGGTAGTAGGCCAGACTATACGGCGTTTTATGCAAATGAGACAGCACGGACATTGCCGTGACCGCCGTCGGTTTTTTGAAGTGTGCCAGGTGCAGTGGCATACGACAGACGATAATATAATATAATATTATAATAATGTACCTAAGTATGGGATGTTCAATTTTAAATAACAACACTCGCGCGTGTACATAAATACATTGAAGATGTTGTCACGGTGTACAAAAGCGAGTGTTATATTATTACTGTTGTAATAATAATATTTTTGTGAAAGCCAACGAGTTATATGTTCGGGGTGGTCTCCTCGTTGACCCTTCTGACGCTTTTAAATAGCATGTGGGTGCAGGTACTTATACCGAACAGAGGTCGAGGACTCGCCAGATGATTTATTGTTGACGTTTAAATCAAAGGTCGAAGGTTGGCCGCACTGTAACGGTGGTCAAGAGGGCACTGCAACTGAAACTTATACCGTTGAATAAAAAACAGATTTCCCTAGGTTTATCAGAAATACCAAAATGGGTCACGATTGTAATTCAACTGTATTTGTATTCGATTGCATTTCAATTTATTAATAACCATGGTTATCACATATTTTGTATTATACCATCAGTCAACTGATAGCGTAAACATTCACTAACCACTACACTGTGGTATCTAATGTTCTGTTTACTCACAGTAATCGGTATTGTACTTGTACAGCCTAAAGGCACATCCCCATCCGTGTCTTCATTGTCTTTATAGTTTATGACCAGAATCAAAGGTTTTGTGTACACATTAAAATTTAGGATTTAATGTTACAATATCCACAATGATATTTCAGGTTTTATTGCGAGGCCTTTGCGGGTACGGCGATCCGTGTGTGAACGATCATGTAATTAAGTCATGAGAATGTTATTTACCTGCGACAGGAGACAGCTTTCGCATGACACACCATCTGGATTTCCACTGTAAAACAACAGACAAGAAAAAACAATTAAATCTACACATAGAATATACAGCACATGCGGGCGCGACTGTGTTATTGTAATTTTTTTCGTGAAAAGTATAATTGTTAATATTCAAAGACGTGTATGTACGCTGGTCGTATATAGGTAAACAAAAATATTAGTACTGGATCTTTAAACAAATATACTATTATTAGATGACACATTTAAATTATAAGCATAACTAGGCTCGCAAAGCGACTGCGGGTTGACATGTTGGTAGTCTACTAGACTACCATGATATATTATTTGATGTTAACCAGGGGTTCAAATAAACAATGGGAGCAACGTTTCAATTAAACCGTCGCAAACGCGTTAACCGAGAGCAAAAAGCTAACCTAACCGACATTAGGCTAGTGTACAGAGAATTATGGTCGTCGCCATTCGACTTGCAATTAATTGGTAGTCAAGACGGGTAGGATGCCATTACAGATCATAATCGGCGTGGCCCTCCTCTTTTGGGTCACCAAAATCGGACCCTGGGGTATTAGTCACAGTCTTCCGTTTCCGTTTATGCCCTTCTATTTTTAATTCGCGTCCAACCCATAGCGTTTTTGAACACACAGGAAGTGACGGTACTACCCGCCGACTGAAATATTAGAGGGAGGAAGATAATTAATAATAACAACTCCTTATGCGCACCTAAATTAATAATAACATCAATATAGTAATACTGTTGTGGGCAAGTCGAGATGTAAACGACGAAAACAAAAGTTTTAATTTAGTCGTTAATGCAAATGAAAGCGGTCTGTTTTTTAATGTTTACACCAAAAATCCTGACAAAATTTCGACTACTTAGGATGGTCTGATTTCAATTCTGTAAAAATATATACAATTTTTTTGGCTACTTTACTAGGTTGTGTAGGAAACGGATATTTGCTTTTTTATGTAAACTTTGTTTCTTAATATTAAACATTTTTCAAATTAAATTTATTTTTAATTACAAGAAACTGAATTTTTGAAGTTAAAATCAGTTGCCTATATAACCTAGTACAGTAGTCAAAAAACTCGATCACTTTACAGAATTGAAATCGGACCATCTTTTAAGTAGGGGCAATTTCGTCAGGCTTTTAGTTATAAAATACCACCAAAATGACGATAACTCATTGAAAAAGTATAAGTTAAAATAATACTTTGAAACTTTTACAAGTTAATTTTTAAATAAATCGACACGATCGAAAGTTATTAAACCCTATTTTTTTCTTAATTATCGCCTATATAAAACTCCTTAAGACCCGCCCGCTTTCAGTCCCCTTATTAACACAAGGGTGGCCCGATGGTATATATTGCAATAATATACTTTGCTGTTGTGTTTGGCCATACAATTTAAAATCTTAGGCAAACCGTTTGTATTATGTTGAGTTGTATCAGCTGGTACTAGTAAGTTGCGCTGTTGTTTATGCCAATGGTGAAAGGTTAACTTACGGCGGCGGCCCATCACGTTTTTGTAAAAATAATAAAATTACAAAACCGCGTTGTCGACGGCGAGGCGTTTCGCAACAAATCAAAACGCGATTTATCGACTAGCGGCGTGTAGAAACAAAAAACCAAAAAGATTTAGTGCCCATGTATCCTTTGAGTTATAGTTACGCGCCCTGGGCAGCTACTGAAACATAATATTTCATAAAACATATTGTCCGGGTCTCATGCTTTTCGACGGCCGTCTTATACCATTATACTCGGGACGGGACTTGTTGTTAAATTATTCGCAGGTCGAATATGCAGTTGTTATATGCGGCGTTGCACACATTTCAGAGGTCAAGGTCATGACCTCAGTGAATGTACATTTTTCAAGTGTCCCGGAATGCACTGAGAAAGGGATCGCTGGATTAAAGTCTAGATTCAATTCTTTAAATCGTTCGATATTTAAGATATTATAAAAAAGGACTTTAAGAGTTTAACGTACGGCTTAATGTCAAGAGATAAAAAAAAAACGAGTTTTAAACTGTATACCTTTAATAAATAGAGAGATGAAAGCGGCTTAAGATACAGTTATCGCAATAGTAGCCGAACAAAGTTAAATAGATAATACTATTATCTAAAATATCAATAATATTAGTACATTTTATGTGAAGTAAGTGAAGCGTAGTTGTTTATGTTAATTATAATAATTAAATTATAGTTCCTATTGATAAATGAATATGCATATTGATCAAAACAAAGTATTGGAATCAGGTTATGAATATATTTATTATTTACCGATTTAAATTTTGAAAAAACCGGTTTCCAAATTATTTTTTGCACAAATTACAATATCATTACTATTCACTTGAACCGGAATCAAAAAGAAAATTAAAACGTGTGCTAGAAAATGTGCCAAATATTATGAAAATAATAATATGTCAAATGATAGTATTTTAATATGCATTGCAATATTAGCGATAAAAAAACTGCAGTTAGTGGTTTGAACTGCTATATATGCGATAACGCCAAGGTTATTATTTTTTGTGCATCATTACATAACACCAATTATAGCTATAATAATAATAATATAATATATAATAGAAAATATGAAAATACAAATATTGTGTGTTAAATTGTTCAGTATTATATTTTTTCTGCAAAAGAACAGTTATTGATATTTCTAAGTTATTCATTTTCTTAATAATTATTTTACAGTGAATTATAAAAAATGTACTAAAAATGCATAATATAATAGTTGTTAGTTTACCATAACTCACTTAAGACAAGCCCTCCTAAAATGAAAAATAAAATGGGTGGTAGTTTGTACAGACTATAATATGGAGTTAATGCATACAACTCCGGGGTCTATTTATCATTTTTAGTTTCCTGCTATACAGCATTAGCTAACCAGATTATAGAAGTTTTGCTAACAGGAAAATTCAAAATTGTTTATGTTTTTAAGGTTATAATAGACGGGTTCAAATTAACGTTATAACTATATTTACGAGTTTTTTTTAATAAAACTGGACGATTTAATTTATTTTAATACTTGTAAACCTGAATTTGCGACACGACCAGCGTCTTATTACGTTGCAAGCCTTAATGCAAATTGATTGTCGTTTCAGACTTTATATCATAGATTGAAAATATTTACATATAAATAATATATTGTACTTAAAATAGACAACTCTAAATTATCAAAAATAATATGTGCCATAGTTAAGCAATCATTAAAAATTTGATTTTCATAATGGTGTAATTAATACAAAATATAAAAAATAAAACGCCAATTCAAAACATGCGTTGCCTAACTTTATAAATATATAGGTATATATATTTTAATAAATTGAAGTTTTGAAAATGAATAATTAAAAGGATTCAAGTTATTTTTTTCGTATATTAAAAAAAAAATTGTCTAGTGTTTTATTTAGTTCTGTCATAAAATAATATCTAACAATTAAAAACTTTTTAGTTTTAAAAATATAATTTACATTTGTTGTACTTGTATACAAATACAATTACCCCTTTGTGTTTACCCCGTTTTTAAATATTTAAAACAATTTATGACATTAAGTGAGATGACACGAGTTAATGTAAATATTGTTTTGAAAGCATATCTCAACAGCATAATGGCAAAACGGACAAAATACTTATCAAGCAACCCGTATCATCTAGTCATTACGTTTAATCTATGCGTGCAATAATGTTTTCAAAAAACAAATGGTTTATCAAAAGTGGTGTGCTTACTTTTTTGCCGTCGCGGAATTTCACGGTTCCCTCGATAACCGCGTTAAAATCCGTCATACTTCTTGGGCGCCAAACGACAACACTTCAATGGGTATTATTATGACCGAAGTACCATACCTGTTATCACGACAATACCGTAACGATGTAAAATATAATTAATTAAACGATTAAAGAATAAATCGCGAACACCGCGAACTCGTGATACCGCATTTGCACGCGCGTTTTATCACCGTACACATCGCACTTGCACTGCACCAGACACGTGTATACAATATCAGGTAGCCGGTAGGTATATAAAATATTATTATGATAACCACATATTTTCACTCGCTGACGGCCGTATACTACACACGATTTCCGGAACCGAGCGGGGGCGCAATACGATTATTTCTAATGAACACGCAATTACAGTAATATTATTATCTTATTACTTCAATTACACAGCTACAGAACAAATTTCGCGAGATCCTTCGTCGGCGTGAGATAGGTCGGTCGGTCGGCACGTCGGTCGCCAGCACGACTAGACCACGCGACACGGTGAACGCAACCAGACTGTTCGCGGGCCCGCTACCGCCTCCACCGCGGCACGGTTAAACCGCTCGTCACCACCACGCTAGCCCCCCCACCCCGCCACTGCCGCTTCGTCCGACCACCTCGAAACGGCCGCCGTTAACAACCCCTAACGTTATAATATTCCTATATTACTATTTCACCAACCCTTATGACGCGTACGTACATGTATATGTGCGTGGGTGTGCGCGCTTTGCCACACACACAGTACAACGTCTTGTGTAATATTGTACGACGGTAACGCGCGCATAATGGCTTTTCGCCGGACCACTGCCGGGTAAAGCTTTGCTCGTCGAGTACACTTAAAACCACGGGTGCGAATGGTAATTTTTATTCAGAAGGAACAATATTTTCAAATTATATTTTAATATCAAATAGATTCATCGACTGCGGACAGCAGTAAGCGATATTATGGACGGTTCCGTCTGCGTTACACGGATTACTTGTACCGGCGAATTTCCTGTTGACCGGCATAACGGCTATTATATCCTGGACGGACAAAGGTCTAGGATTTCGTCCTGCTCCAGAATATCGTTTCGGTCAAATGCACTCCCCTGGGGTGTATGTAAAATGAAATAATATAATTTATCTCGACGGCATTAGGCGCATATCCAAATAATAATGTCATTTAGACGGTACCTACGGCGACGAATGCCTATTATAATTATTAATAGTATGTAACATGATTGGCGAAGGATAAAGACAGTACAATCGATTAATATCGTTATATTAATACAGTAATTTATTGATTACAATCGAATGCGTACTGTCCGAAGAAAAGTTTCGTCAGCCGTCCATTACCATAATAACGCGATATCATTGTCGGATTTAGAGTGGTAGAGAGAGGTGGAGGAGGCACGGATAGTACACAAAACGATAATATTATATTATTATACACACGCGGATTATCATCGGGTTACATGTGGTCATTATGTTAAAGCCTGTGTTCTATTTCGCGGCCGGCAGATCGGTTTTAAACGTCGGCGGTGGTCTTCGACTGTAATCTTGGAAAATTGAATATTGTTGTACAATGTTTTTAATAATATTCAGTTTAGTGCTGACTAAAGCGTGTATCAGACAAACTATTTGTCTTGTCGCAGTGGCCAGCGACAAAATCAGACGATTGTTGTCGATATAGGCTGGTCTTAAAGCCTTGGCAAGGTCGACCGTTTAAGACGTCAGCTGATTACAAATAATAATAGTTTTAATGCCATTACTTTGTTTAGTATTTGCCAACTTAAGCCCCATATTCCGCAACAGTACAGTTGTAAATATTTCACTTGGCGAAGGTATGCTGAATAATAATTCGTCGGCTATAGGAGGCTATAAACCGGCTAACGGGTTGGGTGAATCACTCTGTACAGCAATAGTATGTGTGTGTGTGATTTGGACAAAACCGGTAAATCGGTTAGACGTTTCGTTTCATTTCTCTAAACCATGGAGTAGTCAAGTTATTAAAACAATGTGGAAATCCCAACCTAAAAATGAAAATAAATGGCAATTATAAATAGGTTTGCTTAAGTATGGAGAAACTCATCACGTTTTCATGTTGTTACTCGAATGTGATAAAATGGCGCGATGCGTACTTACTACTAGTTATCACTTATCATACATTACTTGATACATCTGGATTGTAAATACAATAATTGTATTCATATACTAATTATTAGTATATTATAGTAGTAATATTTGATTTTATGGAAACATAAAAGAATAACACAAAATCCATAAACGAATCAGAAATCGTATCTCGGTCTAAAAGACTAGTGTAAACACAAGATAATATTTATTGTGTAAATGTAATAATTTTTAAACGCGGTCGTCTCGCACGACATCGATGGTTCTTCTTTATCATTGCCGTTATCTCAATAGTATAAGCAGCAGAATCACACCACATGTCGTCGTCCCTTCGGGAGACCCTGAGTCTTGGCTTAAGAACCTAAGGGTGACGGTCACGCCGGGTGGCGATTTAGGGCGCACGCGGGTGGCACATTCTATTGTCCTCGGCCAGGGTGTTTCTTAACAAGGGATAAAGGCACCGCTAGACTAGTATAGAAATACCAGCTAACGCGATACGAAAAAAAAAACCATTTTACATCAGATTTTTCAGTCTCTTGTTTTGTGTAATTCGTAACTGATGCTGAATTTGTACGACAGTAAACCGCAAATAGGTTTCTAGATTTTCGTTATGTCAATAATAGTTGTATACAATATTGGTACATGAAATTGTTTCATCAACCTTTTGGGACAAGCCTGACCGTCGACCGATGACAGCCGTGAATTGGCTACACTCGACGTCAATAATAAAAGTGTGCCAAATAATGTTTTAACCTCTAAAATAATAGTTGACAGAAACCGCAAGTAAATAACAACGGTATTAAAATTGTATTGAGTTAAATTTATAATGACATATGACACGGTTGTTTTTTGCGATACCAAATATTTTATAGTTCTCTTTAAAAAATAATCAATCGATTAAAATATTTATAATTTCAAGAATACAATTCTACTTTTTCATGCGAACAAATCTTCGACCAGATTCAAGAATCGCCCCGTTATTTTTAGCTAACAATCGGTCGACTTAAAATTTGTCACATAATGTTTTATTGTGTGTGTGTGTGTGGGCGGGGGGGGGGGCTATGTGATTTTTTTCGATTATCTGAGAAGATCCAACACAGGGGAAATGCATAAAACAAATGGAGCTGTTAACATTTTACTGGTTTTCTTTGGACATCCATACAGGAGCTTCTCTATAATTAGTTAGGTCGTTAACGAAACAGAATTTGGGCGGAAGACGGAATATAGGATATGTGAGAAAAGTCGACAGCGTTCCGGAATTAGACATAAACTCGGATGATGTACTCAATAAAAACTGTCGACTACACTAAATTTAGTCTCAAGTCGAGCTCGAGACGCTGGCCGTGTAAGTGTGCAACTGTGGACGATTGCCAGTTTCGGGCCCATGGGTTTGACGTTTGTGTACATCGTGAAAATGTCATTAAAGTACTGTTAAACCCAAGAGCAGTTATTAGGCCAAATCGTAATGAACTATGACCCCCCTTGTATACGTTTAATACAATTGCATCTAGTTTAATTCCAATTAAAGTTTATATTATACCTTAAAATTAAAATTAATAGTTAAAAAAAAAATATTTTGTTTAACTATAAATATATAGGTAGTATTTTTTTTTACAAATATTTCGTTAAAAACTGATAAACAACTTTATAAACTTAAAGAAAATGAATTAAACAACGAGCCAATTGTTTTTATTATATTTAAGTATTATCGTTTAATAATATTTATCCATTTTATTATTTTATTCCGTATGAATTGTAAGTAGTAAAATTAAATCGTATCACAAAATGAAAGACAAATAATAATTTAAGAATTTATATTAAAAATAATGCTAATGGAGAAACATAAAAATCAATAGTATTATAGTGTATTCTACTCGTAGGTATACAACGTTTTATCTACAGACATTAAAGTCGTTCAAAATTGTTGTCATAATGTTAAACTGTTATAGATTATACAAGGGGTTACTATCTTTATAGCTTAACGGGGCGACTAGAAAGTAATACATATTTTGAAAAACATATTATATTATATTGTGTAGAATTAATTTATGTTGTGTACATATTATCACATCCACAAAATGTGCCTAATCATGTAAGTATTATATATTTTGTATCAAACTGGATCATTTTTTTTCTAGTATAAAAAAATAATAGTTATTAAATTTTTACTTTGGTTTTTATACAAGCGGTACCATTTACAATATAGATTGTAGCGAATCCTGGAAGACGTTTTAAAACATTTGCCGAACTGCAACGAACTACCGGAATTCACTATACTATTTCTTTTTAATAAAACACCATAAGGATGTGACTTATGATTTGACAGACGTACATGAAATGCAATCAATGTATGATTTATAAATTTTAACACAAAAGCATAATGACCTTTATTGTGTTAATACATAACAAGTTTACCCCTTCCTAAAAGAGGACAGTGCTGTTGACGGTACATTAAAAATGTATAATTGACCATACTATTTTATTATAAGGGAATATACCTGCACGAAGAAAGATGAAGAAAATAAAAATAAAGGCGACTGAACATATAATTTGTTCTTGGGTATGCCGTATGATTTATTATATAACGCAATACTGCAAAAACTGGTCACCGACGAATATGGGAAATATATATATTTTTATCAATACACAGGGTCATTCAAATATTATGTTACGTCAAAAATTTCGACGAAATCATCAAAATAGGTGAAAATTACTAGGTATACTTTTTTTTTCAATTACATAATATATACTATTATTAAATTACGGAGTATTTAATTTTTTTATATTTTCCAGTCTACAAAGCTCTATCAACTTTTTAAACTTAATTGGTAACGTATATATTAAGTTAACTTTTTAAATTAAGACAAATTTGTTGAACATTTTGACTGGTCAATAACCAATTTTGAATAATTACTTTTTAAGTTAAAAATGTATGACGGAAGGTAGAGAGCCGTAGAGTAATACACAAAGATAAAAATAAAACTCTTTCATTCCACCCTTTTCCCGCCCTAAATTATTATATGATTATGGTGTTTCCTCATTCTGAAATTAAAACCTATACTTCCAGATAAAACAATCCATTGATACAATAATATTAAATATAATATAATAATTTAATAAAAAGTATGGAAGTGGCCAAATATAGTTTTACAGATCCATTGGACGCTCATGATCGTTTACGGGTTGTACTCCGTATGATGTTATGTCATATCTTTATGATTTAATTACATATAATATTTATATTTTAATGTAAAATACTAAATCAATCAAACGGTATGCATAGCGCAAATACGGGGGGGGGGGGGGGCTAGGGTGGGCTTAGCCCCCCAAAAAATTAGGTTATGCATACAATTTGAAATACAAAAATATATTTACTTATATATATATTTT